GCCTGAAGTGAGGGATCCTTGTACCACAGGGAGTTGGACAGTGAAATACAAGCAAACTAGAAAAACAGTGATCTTTATTGTTCTGAGGTAAATATTTGGTAGTCAGCTATTCAACACTATGATGAAATATCTGACACAGGCTACATATGAAGAAAAAGAGTTCTGGGGGGTTATCGTTATGGAGGTGAAAGGGCACATATCTTCACCAGCCCTGCCCTGGGGAGGGCCACATGGAGAACAGGGAATGGCAATGGCAAAAGCATGCTTTGAAACAAGTGGGCAGATCTTGAGCCAGGAAGCAGAGAAGACACTGGGTCTTCTGGGGCCTCACAGTCCCTTTGGAGGACACAGTTCCAATTAGCTAACCTTAGGATGACCCCACCTCTTAAAGGCATCACAGCCCTTCCCAATTCCACAACCCTAGGACCAGGCCTCCAATTGCAGAGAACCCAGGGGAGACACTCAAACCACACTTAAACTATAGCAGGTAGTACTGTGGCCATAGCAGCCATGACAAGCAGGACAAATGATAGGAAAGATTCAGAATATACTTTTTGTTGTTGTTGTTTTTTTCCAGTACTGGGAATCAAACTCACGACATTGCGCTTGCCAGGCAGGCGCTGTGCTGCTGAGCTAAACCCCCAGCCCTCAGAATATACGTTTATACTGGATGTTTCCTGCTGCCTTCAGTAAACTCAGATGAAGAAAAGATGACTTCCGGTTAGAACTGAATGGGATGGGAGTGCAGGAAGAACTATAGCTTGGCTAAGAGAGAGGCATCTGCCTGTAGCTTGCAAACCTATTTGGTAAAGAGTCTACTCAAGTACAATTTTGCATTGTGCTATGCTACAAACCAACAGTCAGAGCTGAAGATAAAACTGTGACCTCAAGTATTAATTTTTAAAGAAATTTCTATTAAGATATTATCTTCCAAACAATGAAAATCAGTCCACCAAAAATATCCAAATGAAACTACTGTATTTTCTTCCTACCCAGGTCTGTAGTTTCATATACCCTCCAAGTAGCTATCATTGGAGGAAACAGAGAGACAGGAAGAGTATAAAGGCCAATATTTAAAAGAAACCTAAGACTTAAAAATTATGTCTTGACAAGATCTGGCTATTGTAATTGCAAGTGAAATAGGCTGAAAGGAAATAAACTGGAAACATACCAAATTTGGGAAAGGGTTATATTGCCAAAGAAATCACGAACTCAAAAATTTTGGAAATTTCAAAACTGTTTTCAATCTTCAAGGCAATCCTTGCACACTCAAACCCAGTGTGAGACCAGTCTGGCAGCTTCCAAGTTGGAAACCCAGCTCAGATGCCCACCTCAGAGGGCCAGGATTCAGGAGCAGTAAGAACTCCAAAAAGCAGACGCAGGAGTATGTGGAAAAGTGGACATGGAAAATAGCATCAGGGCTGCCAGAGAATCTGTCTGTTGCTCACAAGTGAAAGAGCTTCACGCTGGAGGAGACTCTTCTACCTTGCTTCAGTATGTGTGTTAGGTTTGGGACAGCAGATAACTTGGCCACATTTGTAACTGATGGAAATGGCCAAATATTTCCTGGAGGCCCTGCACTCTGAGCTGGACGTCTAACTGGGAAAGAGGAATACCATTTGAGGATGTTTTCTCTTGAAAGGAAGATGGAGCTGTAGCACATGTAAAAAAAAAGAATGCAGGTATTTAAATGGGTGATCATTAGGGGGCAATGTGGCTGAGACTGCTGGTTTATTGATTTTCTATTCCTTCCATAACAAATTACCTTAAATTTAGTGGTTTAAAACAGCAAAAATGTATTACCTTTCAATTGTGCATATCAGAAGTTCAACATGATTTTCAGTGGGTTAAAATGAAGGTGTTGGCTTGACTGTGTCCCTTTCTGGAGACCTTGAGGAATTTGTTCCTTTGCCTCCTCCAGTTTCTAATGGCCATCTATATTCCTTGCGCATGGTCCCTCTTCTTTAGCTTCAAAGGTAGCAGTGGTGGGTCAGGTCCTTCCCATATGTAATCTCTCTGAGCTTCCTTCTACACTCATGTCTCTCTTCTGACTACAGATGGAAAAATTATCTGCTTTTAAGAACTCATATGATTAGATTGGATCAACCTGGATAACCCAAGATATGTCCCCATCTCAGAGTTCTTACCTTAATCACATCTTCATAATCCTTTACTCACATGAATATTTTGGGAATTAGAGTATCTTTCTGAGTGGGAGTAGTTATTCTGCTCACCATAGCTAGTTACAGTTCAACAGCAATCTTCTTCTCAAGTAGAACCTTTATGTTATTCACTAAAAGCTGAGAACACTCCTGCCCAGAATAAAAATCATGTATTCCAGCTTTCTTTGATGTATCTAATGGGACTATATTCTACCCTAGGATGTAAATAGAAGTGATATGTGCAGCTTGTAAAAACTGTCTTAAAGGCCATTTCCTTCACTTCATCCTTCCTCCTGGCCAAAACGCACATATGAGGAATAAAGAATGATCTGGCACTTTCACCATGATACAGAAGGTGCATAATAAGGGAAAGGGTGCAACAAGAGAAGAAACTGTTCTATCTGGTCATGGAACCATCATGTCAACCATTTCTAATGGGGGATAGCTTCTATCTTTTTCATCACTGTTATCTAAGAGTTCTGATGCTCATAACCAAACTTAACACACAAAATGCCATGCAGTTGACAAGTATAAAAACAAAGTAGGTGGGTAGGAAGTGAGAAGGGGAGGTTTGGGATTTCTCCAGGTTGGACCAGTTAAAGGAGAAGTTGTGGGTATGGCCATGGCTATACACACTAAAAACCAAACCAAGAAAACTCACAAAGAACATACAACTGAGCAAGGGGTGGGGGATGTACAGTGCTCAGCTATAGCAGCCTACCTCATGGGAGTCATTGTTAATTTCTTCTCTACAAACTTTAGAAAGTCCAATTTTAATTTTGAAAATTTCCTCAGCTTTCACTGGGAAAAAAGGACTTCCAAATCCCAGTGACTTAAAACAAAGGCTTGTTTCTCACTTCCCTTACATGTCCATCTGAAGTCAACAGGGAACCTGTCATTTTTGTAACTTAGGGGCCCAACTGAAAAAAACTCACTTTGGCATGTACTTCCTTACTTGTGGCAGTAGCAAAAAGGTTCTTAATGACAGTGTTCAGCATAGCAACACTGTACATATCAGCCAAGAGATAAGAAGAAGCACCCCCAAGCGATGGATAAATGCATAAAGAGATATGGTACATTCATACAAAGGAACATTATTCATTCTCAAAAAGGAAAGAAATCCTGTGACTTGCTACAACATGGATGGATCTTGAGCACACTATGCTAAATAAGCCAGCCTTACCCACCCCCCAAAAAACCCCAAATATTGTATGATTCCACTTATAGAGGGAACCTAGAGTAGTTAAATTCACAGAAAGTGGTTACCAGGCAAATAGAATGCTGGTTACCAGGGGCTGGGAGAGGAAGGAAAAGAGGATTTGTTTGATGGGTAGAGCTTCAGTTTTGCAAGAAGAAAAAGTGATAGAGATCTGTTTTACCACATGATATACTTGATAGTAGTGAAAAGTACACCTGAAATGGTTCAGGTGGTAAATTTTACATTCTGTGGTTTTCTTCTAATGCTAATCTTTTCAGCAATAGAACTCTTCTGCCAAAACTTTATAGGAGCTTCCTTTCCAGAGAAAAATGAAAACTTTTAAAATCACTCAGTGTACCATTTCCTCAATTCTCCACACAGAGCTGGCTAAAAGACAGCAACAGTATCCATGCCCCAGCCTGAACACGGGGCTACTTTGAAATTTCTTCCAATAAATCAATTAGTCTGCTGCCCTTAATCTCAGTCTCCTGCAAAAACCAAGTAAAATGTAGACAATTTTCTGCCACAGCATAGCACATATGGTCTCAAGTCCAACTGCCAGTGGAGTTTCTGTTCTCAACTAAAACCTCCTGAACCTGGATTTTACTGTCTGCATTTTTATCAGCATTCTGGTCATTTGAGCTCCAATCACAATCTCCCATCAAGCTTGACTTATAGCATTTTAAGTCTTCTCCAGCTGATATCTCCTTTCCAAACTCCTTCCAAAAACCAGTTCCAAAGACTTAAACCACATGATTAGGTATACTCATACAACTTCTCTGGTAGGAAATAGGAGACTGGGGAGTGACAAAACTGACTGGGGAGGTAGGCATGACCTGTTAATTACAAGATCCCAGAACCATGCACAGAACAGTTCCCAAAGCTCTGCACCTGGACTTCTCTGGAGAACTCAGGCAGGTTTTCAATAGGATGGCCTACACCTAAGGTCAGACTGAGACATGGGGTTCCAGCACCACCTGTCAGGAGGCTTATGTAGAAGTTTCTGTGGGTTTCCTCATGATTTGGATAGTATAAGGGACACAGATGCTAACACCTTCCTGTCGTGACTCTCATGGTAGTCCATGCTGCATTTTCCAGATGCAGTGTGTACTTTTATTTTTGCTTTTATCTTCTTTTTCTTTTACACTGCTCAACTTCACTCAGCAGAGCTGATTTTTCTCATACCCCTTCATCCCTCACTTTTCAAATAAACTTTTGGCACTGTTTTTGGCTCATTTCATCCAATTCTTCATTCAAGATGAGAAGAATCTGGAATCTAACTCCAGAAAGAAAGGCAAGTAACCCAGAGCCCAGGAACATTTAACTGGGAGCCACCTTTAGAAGCAGGCTACCCAATAACCAAAATTTGTCTTGGTCACTTTCTCATTATTGGGACAATATACCTGACATCCACAATTTAAAGAAGGAGAAGTTTATTTTGGCTCACATTTCCAACCCACGGTTGGCTGGTTCCAAAGGCAGGAAGCAGTCTGACAGAAGTGCACAGCAGAGGAAAATCTGCTCACATCACAACAGGGAGGAAAAGCAGGGAGGTTCTGGGAAAGGAGATACAGTGTACTCTTCCGGATCATAACCCCAGTGACCTGGCTCTTCAATCAGACCCCACCTCCTAACAGCAATTTAACTACAGTCCCCTCATAATTCAAAAGGGCCATCTATGAGCACAAGAGGCTCTTGGGGGACATCTGGATATAAACTGCAACAAGTTTCCTTGTTCACTGATGTCAGCAACTGGGGAAGGTCCTCCTTTGCAGGTTGGGCAGCTTTCCCAAGTTACTTCCTGCCTATAGGTGATACAGAGGCTCAGAGTCACTTTGAATTTCAAAGACCCACAATCACATTCATTCAAGACCACAACACCTAATATAAGTAAAATGCTTTTACAAGTTTAAACTTGGTTGGCGCCTTACCTATTCATTTGCAGACATATTTATCACATTTCCAAGCGCTCTCTCCTGCTTCAATGCCTCTTCCTACTCAATATCTGTCTCTCTGTGCCTCCCTCTCTTTCTCTCTGTCTCTATCTGTTTCCCTCGCTTCCTCTTACCCTCCACCCCCAATACTAGGTTCCCTGAGGTTACAGTTTGGATAGACGGCAGTTGCCTTTTCTGACTTTATAAATCCCTGAATCTGTAGACATTCTAATAGTCCTTTTTATTTAAACTTAAAAGCTAACATTCTTCTCTGAACATATATCTCTTTCTTATAATACCTCAACACATGCCATAAACAGCAATAGTAATCTTTCCTCAACTTCTTCTCCGAAGTTAGGTATATGATTTGGCTTCTAGTTTATTACAGACACTTTTGGTAAATGTCTCACCACTAGAAAACATGGATTTCCATTCCTTCAGTCTTTAGTAGTAGTTTCCCAATTCCCCCGAGCAGCTGTTAAGCCAAAGCCACATATTAAAAGTCTATTATGAAAGCAGTAACCCTTTGTTAGATTTTTAAAAAATCATTTTTATTCCTGCCTACTTTAAAATAATTTTAAGAAAATCACACTAACTGTAATAAGGCTCTCAGGGATTCAGAAAAAATTAAACTTTTCTGGACTCTCTCTCTTATCAAAAGATATAATACACTAAGTACCATGTTTCAGGCAGATGTGGATTCCCAGATGTGCATTCCCAGTTTAGCAGTGGATCATCACCAGTTCTGTGAAGTAGAGCATAGGTTAGGGATAGTGTTGAGTTGCACCCACAGTGGCTTGGTCAGGTATGGTGTTCATTTTCCATGTAGAATAAGTGGTCTGAAGTAGGCAGTCCAGGACCGGGACAGAGATTCCGTCTTTCTGTTCTTTCGTCCTTAATTTGTGGTCTCCATCTTTAGAGGATATAAAATGACTATTCTATTTCCAGGCATGTGCACAACTTCCAGGATGGAAGGAGGAAAAGAACACAGGCAAAAAGTTGGGTCTGCTTCCAGTTATAGGCAGTGTTTACCACCTAGTGACTTCCACATTCGTCTCTTGAGCACAAATGTTGTCACATAGCAACCCCTATCTGCAGCAGAACTAGGGAACTAAAGTGTTTTGTTTTGGCCAGGATTATTGATGAGATCAGAATTCTGTTAGAAAGGAAGAAGGTTAGCATGAATATTAGGCAAGTAACCAGCAATATCTGCCTCAGATAAACACCATTTTCTTCATTTTACAAGAAAACCAAGGTTTAAAGAGGTAAAGTAATGTGATCATAGTTCATTGACTTGGATTTACATTCACTCCTGTGACTACAAAATCACAACATATGATAAGCGTTTACTTAAAAAAGATAAAACTTTAAAATTTTTTTGACATATAAAAGGGTAACAGGTTCTTTTTTTCCTTCAGATTCTAGAAAATAGCAGTGAGAATGAGAATGGTAAGGGTGAAAAAAGATGTGATTTCCCATGGTAATGTCATGAGCTCAGATTTAAAAAACAAAAATTCTATAGTTAAAAGCAACCTAAAAGATTATGGCACATTTTCAGACTACTTTCCTTTCCACTTCTGGTTAAAAACGTATACAGAGCCTTGTGCCTAGAATTTATTTTGACCTAGCAAACTCATTTTATTTTTTGTCTTTTTTTATTTTAAAAATGAAGGAAAACATTAACAAACAGACAAACATTTACAAAATAGCAAAAGAACAATACAAACAATACAGAGTTACAAACAAAGTGGTAGGAAATTAACAATGCTTGTTGTATTACATATTGATATCTTCAAAGTGGTTTCTCAGGAAAACAAATAGAGACATGCAATATTGATCAATCAAGGACTCATTAACTGTTTCTTTCAGCAAAGAAATAGAAGACAGTAGATCAACTATGTTAACTGTCCTGTATATACACATACAAAATTTCTCCTTCTTTTCCTTCTCTTTTCCCACATCCCAGTTGCCCTTTACCTTGAGCATTTTCCTTTCATTTCACAATATCTATCATACCTCCTAGTTTTTATTCATTCTTTCAGGTTTTACACTAGTGAGACAATGCGGTGCTTGCACATACAGGTCTGATTTATAAACTCATTTTATTGCCTCTATTAACTCTTTTGGGGTGGAGGGTATCGGGAATGAAACTCATGACCCCGTGCTTGCCAGGAAGGTGCTATGTAACTGAGCTACATTAACTCTTATCCAGGGGTTTAGAATTACAATAGTTACTAACAGAGCTAACTGAAAAATCAACAAATCACCTCTAGTTGCTATTTCCAGAATGATTAATTTGATTCTGTTATCTATAAATCTGGCTTTTGCTTTTTTTTTTTTTTCTGTTTCATGGAGAAAAGGGAAACGGCACTACCTACTATGAAAGGCAGGGTGGCTATGAATAGTGGCAGGGATGGAACTCTTAGATGTCTCTTACAATCATCAAAACTGAGCAGCTGAGATCACTAGCTTGGAAAGCAAGGTGTGACTCCGTGGAGGGTGCACTGGCAATGGTCACCATCTCCAAGAAGGTGTAACGCAGGCCCAGTGCTTGGCAACAACTCCTAACTCACCTTTGGCACCTTTTGGCTTTTTCCCTAGGGGAATGGGAGTCATCCTTACTTTTGATGTGTCCTCACTGTGAACCCTGGGGATTTCCCTCCCTTTGATATAGGGGAAAGAAACTCCCAACCAGAAAGATATCTGGGACGAGTTTGTGTTCTCTAAAATAGCAGACTGAATTTTAGGAACAATGGAAGTTAACAGCAGAATATATTTATTGAGGACAAAAAAGCTTCTGTCCAAGAGAGGAACAGAAGGGGGCCTAAGTGGGTTGCCCAGGAACCTGTCTCTTCTAGGGATTTTTATAGAGCAAAACCACAAGGTGAGGCAGGTCCAAGGTGGAAAACATGGGCACTCTCTACGTGGGCATGGGGTGGGACAAAACCATGGTCTACCAATAAGATTGTAAGCATAAATGTTTACGTAAAATTGATTATATCAGGATCAAATAGGGAAGCGAGTCACATAGCAAGCAGGCAAAAATACAGAACAGGGGCTTTTCCTGTAGGGTCAAGTTAGTGACTGTTCCTGGGTTTCCTAAGGTGATAAGAGACCTATTTAGAATATCAATCCCTGATGTTTACCCTTAGGGAGGTATGTAGGCACATTTGTTTTATCTTTTGTCTTGAGGTCTGCCCCACAGCTGGAGGTGTCTGTCTCCCCTACAGCTGCAAAGTATCTCATCTTCTTCACTGGCTCCTTCGAGGGCCTGGCCCCTGTCTGACTGCCTATATTTTTATCTAATTCAGCTGCCTATAACATTTTGCCTCCTTGAACCTGGCTGGCTCTTGGCACAGTGTACGTTAACGATCTGGCAGAAAGAGATGGTTAAATAAATGCAGCCCAATCCCTGATTCTACCTACTGAGCATGTCTAATTCATTTCCAAATACAGTAGTCATTTGGGAGCTACAAAAAGCAGGTGAATACACTCCTGTGAGTTTAAGCAGCAGCAAGAAAGAGAGGTAAACAGCATAAACAGAACCTAAAAGACTGAGGACGGGGGAGAACTATGTAAAACACACCTGGGGTAAAGAATCTACACATAAATTAAATCTAACTGAAGCCCGGAGAACAAAGAGTTCCTGCTGCAAAGTCACAGACTGTCCTGGCCTTTCTTGCTATTAATAGTTATAAAGCTGGGTGTGGTAGCATATGCCTGTAATCCCAGCACTCAGGAGACTGAGGAAGGAGGATCACCACAAACTTGAGGCCACTGTGGGCTATGCAGTGAGTTCAAGACCAGCCTAAACTACATGGCAGGACCCTGATTCAAAAAAAAAAAAGTTGTAACATCACCTTGTCCAGTTATTCACATAAAAACACTGTGAAAGGGAGTGGCTTGCAGGATTTTGGTTTACATTAGGTTCCCTTTGAAGAGTTGGGGATCAGGGATTTTATTTTAATCTGTGGAAGCTCAACAAGCTGCCCGGAGCAGTGCTTGAGTAGATGGAGGAGGTGCTTTTCTAGGTAACTTCACATGTACAGCTTTTAATCACCCTTCAGGAGGAAGAACTGAAATAAGCAGCTAGTGCCCAGCAAGCAGACCTGCAACTGACAGATGGAGCACAAAGTGAGGTGTCTGGGAGAGTTCTGCCCAAGGAATGTTGCCCCTGCTTTGGAAGTGCATTACAAAATCAAAAGGATTTTATAGATCTATATCATCCATCAGGATCTAAGTACAGTTGGCCCTCTGTATCCAGTTCCACATTTACCACTTCAACCAAAGTTCAAAAATACCAGGAAAAAACTATCTGTACTAAACATATATACCTTTTTTCCTTGTTATAGTTCCCTAAACAATAGAATATAACAACTATTTTCTTAACATTTACATTGTATTAGGTACCAGAAGTAATCTAGATGTGATTTAAAGTATACAGAAGGATACACAGGTTATATACAAACATTATCCCATTTTATAAAGGGACTTTGCGTATCCACAGATTTCACTACCTACAGAAGTCCTAGAAGCAAGGAAGACTGTATCAGCATTGAACATATATTTGTTGATATCAGAGGTCTACTTTAGAATCCCCAAACGTACTGTAAGAATAATGTAAAATGCAGATTTCCCGCCTAGTCACACAGGTTTCCCGGCCTAGTCACACAACAATTCTGATTCAGCATTTTGGAGCTGGGATCTTGGAATTTGCATTATTATCAGGTAGTCCATGTGACTTCAGACCAGCTCTGGGATCATACTGATTGTTTTGTAAAAACTAATGCTGGTCTTTTCAAAAGTTAGTATGTAATCAAATTAGAGACTTGATGATAAAATATGAACAAAGTATTCTCTTGCCTCCCTTTATTTGTCATTGTTGATGTTGTTTTGTCACACCTGAATTCACTTTGGAATTCTTTGGCCTGTTTCCTGAGGACCCATAACATAACCCGGAATTATAAAGCTATCAGGAGCAACAAATTCTAGATCTGACTTCCTCAGCAAGTTGCCATTATTAAGGGTAAAAATCTGTCTGCTCTCCCTCAAAGGGGTGGAAGGGACAAATGAAGGGGAGATGACATACAAAATGCCTTCCCTTCAAACTTTCAAGAGTTGAAGATTTACCTGTTTTCCAGGAGTGCCAAAGATCTACAAAGTTTATGAGTGCTATTTCTACATAGCACTAGTAAATATAGAAATAGCACTCGTGAATTTCAAATAGCACTTTAAATTTTTTTCATCAAGACCAGTAGTAAGACTACATTTCACATCAAAAGCCAGCACACACACACACCTCCCCTGTATACCATGGGTGCGCTTACACGCATGGAAATGATCACTGTATAATAAGCTCCTTATCTCTACCCTGTGAAATGTACTCTGATACTTTTTATGCTCAGCCTTTCCTTTCTCTTTCCCTTGCCTTGTCATTTCCCTTTCTCTACTTCTTTCTCTCTCCTTCCCTACCTCGATGATGGTCATGACTCTGTAAGTGGTTTCATTGCTATTTGAAAAATGCTGGGCTCAGTGTAGGACTCCAACAGCTTTGAGCAGGAAAGGAGCAGGAAGGGAATGGAAATGAAAAGAAGTTTATTCATGTTTCCCTAAAATCAACTTTCTTTACTCTACACAGAAGCTTCACTTGCATTGCAACCATTTTATTATGTGCAGTAAAAAAATCACAATTTTGTTTGCTATTATTAATTGAGCATTTGGCCTTGAAAAATAGCAACTAAAAGGCCAATTTTGAGTCATTTTTATCACAGCTGTGAAAATTCACCTTAGCCTTATCTTCACTCTGTCACCTTAAATTTCCATAAACAAAAACAATTTAATGTGAATTTCAAGTGCTACCCAACATATTTCCCACATAACTATCAAGCACTTGGCAAATTAATAACACTCTTCCAAGAATTCTTCATTACAAATATTATTTTTAATGGTAAAGCCTCTACATTTTTATGCATCTCTAAACCAATGAACTGGTTTTATCTTCCTTCTTCTGAGTACAGTATACTGTTATCAACTGAATGCCTCAGAGCAAGGAATATATCAGAGACAATTTAGAAACTAGACGTGGTGGCCCACACCTGCAACTCCAGCACTCACGATTACCAGTTCAAGGGTTACCAGTTCAAGGCCACCCTGAGCTACACAGTGAATTCTAGACCAGCCTGGACTACCAAAAAGAATAACAACAGTAACAACAACAACAAAACATCTCAAAAAAAGAAAAAACAATTGGGATCAGGTCAAAAGGACATAGGCACTACTTTGATTAAAGGTAGGGAAATATGAGTATTAAAAATAATAATGAAATATAGAAAACTGAAAAAAAACAAAGAAACTTGTCAGTTGAAATTGGTGAATGACCAAATAAAGCAAAGTATAACATGCAAAAAAGAAACAAAGATGCTATCTCGTAAGTGTATCAACTTCATGGAATGTTATGAAGTTTAAATAAATTACTGCACGTAAAACAGAAAAAAAATATAGAAACTTGTAACACATAAAATGAATAAAAGCATCATAATTGTGCATGACAACAGATGGTCTGTAGAAAAAGAATAGAAATGACTATAAGGAGATACGAAAAATAATAATATTCAGATCAAAATCTTTTTTCCCCCATGCTGGTATCAAAACCAGGCTTTTGTGTATATTGTTTCAGCAAATTCAGGATGGGTAAGCAAAGTATGATCAGAATACCATTGAACAATAACAGAATATTATATTGGTTGATTTTCAGATATTAAACCAACTTTGCATTCTGAGGATAAAGTTTACTGGTCATGTATTATCTTTTTAAGTGATGTTGCGTCTGATTTACTAAAATCTGTTGGTTACTTTTGTGTGTAGGGATATTGAGTTGTAATGCTCTGTTCAGGTCTTTCACTGGTTTTGGGATCAGGGTAAAACCGGTGTTATGAAATCGACATATTTTCTGTAATGTAGAACTTTGAGAAACATTAAATTATGAATAAAAATGACAAGACAGGTTCATTTAAATATATGTTTGAAATATAAAATAAACTGCTCTCGTTTATTTTCCCAATTTCCATAAGAAATAGAATCTATTCATGTTCACACCAACTTTAAAGTTGGCTGAATTAGAGTGAGATTTTGGAACATCAGAGATAAGCGAGTTGGGGGACTGCTGTCACTAGATTTACAGAGAAAATGAGACCCTGAGAGACCGCCATACTCCTCCAGAAGAGAGCACCGTCCTTCCCTCACATATCTGCATCATCCAACACACAGAGTTTTATGAGTAACTGCCCACCCTTACCCTTTTCCTTCCTATGAAGATACACACGACTCCGACCCGGACCATCCTAAAGAGCCGAACTACAAGGTAGCCCCGGGAGCGCGCGGCCCCTGGCGCCGGGGGAACTGGGCATGCTCAGTCGCCAGGCAGCGTTCTCAGCGAAGTGCAAACTCCAGCGGCCACTCCTGGGCTGGGCGCACGGCGGTAGGCGTGCCCTCGCGCAATTTAGAAGGCCACCTCAGCCAATAGGGCGTCGCAACTGGCTGGCGGGGCTCGTGATTGGAGGCCGCGGAGGCGGGGCGACGAAGGCCCTGCGCGGGAGCGGCGGCGCGCTGGGTGGCGTCCAGGGGCGCGCAGTCCCAGGCGGTAGCAGTCCTTGGCGCCGACCCGACGGTCACTATGCCGAAGAGAAAGGTCAGTCTGTCCTCGGCGGTGTCCTGGCGCGCTCGGCGGTGCGCGCGGCGGACCCTGCGCTCGGACGGGCGGGGGGCGGCCCTCGGG